GCAGGCCTGGGAGATCAATCCCTCAGCCCGCTGTGCTGGCCCCGCCCCTGGGGCACGCTGAGATGGTGATTGAGACTGGGCGTGGTGGCAAGCGCCTGTAATCCTAGCACTTGGGAGGCTGTAAACAGGAGGATCACTACAAGTCCCGTCTATGCATAAGACCCTATAGACCCTGTCCTAAAATTAAAGAAAAAAAAATTACTTTGACATTTTTCTTTCTCTCTGTATACATATGACTCATTTTTTGAAACAAGTTTGAGTTACCTATCCTCTTGGCCCTAAATACTTTAGCCTGGGTTGGGTGCCCTTTAATTAAAATGTAAACCTGACAGCAAAAACCATCAGGAAACCACCGTCCCAAAGCAGCAAGCCTTTACATTGTAAGTGTCCCTTGCAGTGTCCCCATAACTGTTCTGCAGTACAGGGCTCAAGCTCAGAGGAATGATTATTTATGTCCTTGTCCTGTGTGTAAATGCCTAAGTGTTCATCAGCTTGCAGTCAGATGATGTTCGGGAGTGCTTTCATGCAGTGAGGCCTCCTTCGGCCTGGACTTAAAAGCGGCCCCACCCTCTGTTTCTTTCCACCAGGCTGAGCTCCGCCTTCATGGAGACGCCAGTTACCCTGCTCACCCCGAGCCACAGGACCCCCCTCAGCCTGGTACCCGGCGGGAAAGGTAATACTGCCCATCCCCACCAGTGCTTGTTCCTCCTTGGAGAAAAAAAACAGGAAAAGTCAAGAGGGTCCTGTTCAGACCCTCAAAGCATGGCTTGGTGCTCTGCTATCCCTGTCCTGAAATGTGTTTGGAGCTGGGGGCCCTGCATTTTCCTCTGCAGAGGCCCTGGATTCCACAGCTGGCTCGGAGAGCACCCTCCTCTGCGACCAGCTGTCCTCTGATGTGTCCCGCTCTGCAGACCCTTTCCCTGTCTGGCTTCCTGACTGTTGCTGCCCTTTTGGGGTGATCCAGTTGGCCCCACAGTAGGTCAGCCTATGCTGAGGGTTGGCATTCTGCTAGTCTTAGTCCTGAGGTGCATGAGCTATTTCTCATCTCTAGGACAAATATGTGTCACCCACAGATTAAAGGAAGAGAGGCTTACTTTGGTTTGCAGTCTCGGTGAGTTCAGTCCATGGTGGGCTGGCTCCATGGCAGGAGTGGCATGGGGGAAGGGCATGGAGAAGGGAGGAAAAGGTGCTCATTCCATAGCCACCAGAGGGGGGGTTGTGGGGGAGAGA